GGGGGGGGGGGGGGGGGGGGGGCAGTAAGCTTGGGAATGATTACAATCACTTAGGCTTCGTGAGACGCTCATGGGGAACGAAGGGGAGAGAAGTGTAGAATGCATAAATGTATATATATATATATATATATATGCACTATTTATAAAAGGAAAAAATCTGCTATATAAGCATAAAAATCCACACTGGAAAAATGTTTAATAGCGTTAGGATATTTTGTCCTGTAAATGTCGGGATGAGAATGTGAGTTAAATCGAGCAGGATTTCTCGAACTCTCTTCCAGACCGAACGGACTTCTGGTGAGTTACCTTTGGGCTCCTTTCAATTCTTATTTGGGAATGTTAACAGTGGTGGTAAGCGGCGGGTGTGGACGGCTGCACGAGCCCATCGCGTCAAAGCTACCGCGAGGAGACATTCGGCTCAAATTAAGCTTTGGGGTGACCGTAACGGGTGAAGAGGATTTCATCCCAGTGCTCAGTGAGACATAACAGGGAGGACAGGCCCACAGAGGCACCTGCTCACACAGCTCCTGACAGAGACGGTAAAAAATGACACTGTAGAAACGGACAAGTTCAGCCCAAGTGCTGTAATCCCGAAATCACCGTGTCTGCATATCTCAGAAAGCTTCACTGTCATAAAAGAACATTTCTGCAATTTCTATGCCAGTCAACAGTACATACATATATATATAAAAAAAAATGCTCAATGCATTCTGAAAACCACACGAGTAAAAATATGGTGAGAAACACTTTCGGAAAAGGTGTGTCTGAAGCCTGCTGCTTCCGCGTGGGACATCCTGATCTCATCTTTGTGTTTATGCTGCGTTTCCAGTCCATGACATCACCCAGCCGGCCCATCTTCCTTGTTGTCGGCAAAGTTTCCTAAGGCCATAACAGGCAAGTTTCTCCTCCCACAATCCCCTGCTCATTTACCGACATGCGGGGTCCCGATTTCCTATCAGCAAAGCGTGAAATCGCGGGAGATCGCTACACAACAAGGCACCCGCCTCTCGGCTCTCTGCCACTAAATACAATTTAACTCGTATGAGGAAGTCAAGTGGATATATTTCCAATTACGCTCTGAAGTGCCTTTCATACACAGGCTCGTCCGACGTGCGAGGAGAACTTGGGACTGCTTCCAGATGGGTTTATGCAGTAATAAATGCACCATTCAGGAGTCAGGAGTTTATTGTAATATGCACAGTAAACAGTCACCTATGCAATGGTCCTTCAGGCCACCGTCGCACACAAATAAAACACGAAACGCAGATCACAAATACAAATTAAGGTGCTTACAGTTACAATTACAATTACAGGTATCCATCATCTTAAGTCCGGGTTACATTCCAGAAGTGAAGACTTAAGCCAATCTGGATGTATCTCGATCATTATAGGGCAGGAGTCTCCAACTCCGGTCCTGGAGAGCTACTATCCAGTAGGTTTTCTGTCTCACCTGGCTTCTGATGAGTCACACCTGTTCCTGGTATTTACCTGAGAACAGGTGTGGCTCATCAGAAGCCGGGTAGGATAGAAAACCTACTGGACGGTAGCTCTCCAGGACCGGAGTTGGAGACCCCTGTTATAGGTCAAGGTCAAATGTGCTGTATAACACAAGATACATTTAACTGCACCTCCAAAGCATGCCGGACACGTAGTAAGATATGTCTGCTAACGTCCACGACGTCTGCTTCGGATCTCTCTCGATACATTTCATTAAGGATTTTATGGGACTTTGGATGTAAGTACAATCAGATTACTCAACAGGATATAAGTTGATGGATGACTGTACGACAATAAATATGTAGAGGTGGTGCAACCCGAATAAGCACAATAATGCTTAGAAACTGTCAAAATATCATGTTCCGCACGTTGTAATACATTGGGGCGAAGCCAATAATACGAGGGTCACTCATCATTTGCATAAAAGAGGAATAAAAAAAGACTGCAATCATGGGCTGAAGGCTCGGAGGGCAGCTTGGGGCAGGACTGGGACAGCATGAGTGTGCGGTAAGGTGACCAGGACATGTGTACACACACGGACCGTACACAGAGACACACCCCCTAACACACCGGGGACACGGAACTCACCCTCAAAATTCCACTGGTGACCGTGCTTCTGGAGATGACCAATTGCACAAAATAGTGTGTTCTGAGTGTGTATGTAAGTGCAGATGGGAGTTTCAGTTACACAGAACTGTCTGAAGAGCTGTGAAAGTAAAGGAATTCTGCGAGAGGGTGGAGTGAAGGATGTGGCGTCAGAAGTTTTATTTTTTGATTGCTGATGTGTTGCCCCCCCGCGTGCTTGGGCTAGGCCTTAGATAGGATGCCAGGTCCTGCTGGTAAAAAGCCACAGAAATCATGGTGATTACTTGATAGGATGCTGTATGTCTTTCTCACTTGGAGGTGATGCTGTCGCTTGAGAAGCCCATCAACGTCACACCTGCTGTTGACATCCCAATAGATAGCAGCGTGTGACGCACAGGGAACAGCACCCTTGCTGGCTGGGGCTTGCTGTTCATCCCCACCCTGAAAGTCACCAGAGGCCTCGGCCCTCCTGATAAGGATCACCCGGCTGCCAGGGATGAGGCCAACCGTCTCACGGACATAGGCACAACGCAGGGCTGGAATCTCCGGAGTGGCCCCGGTACACGGAAATCCACACGGCACCCCAGATGCGTATCGGCGCCCCCCATTACAGGTCCGGCATTGGTATCAGAAGCCCACTGGCCACTGGTTCGTAAACTATGAAATATAATACGGGGATTTTCTCCTGCGAACGCTACATGTACTCCCACAGAGCATTTGAAATTTAAAGTGAGCATGAAATCTAATCCCTTCACAGAGATTAAATTCTAAATCGAGCCAGGCATGTAAAGGATGCAGCGATTGGGGGTGGGGGGGTGGCTCCCTGCAATTACCATACTGGCTACCGCTAGCCCTGTTACTGGCAACGGATGGCAGACTGGTTAAGAGAGAGAAGCTTGTGAGTGTTTTACTTATACAAAAATGTTCTGAGGGCAGAAGGAATGTTCTGAGGGCGGAAGAGGATTGGTTCAAAGAGATAACCAATCCGACTGTAGAGGGGGTGGGTTTAAGCAACTGGAGGACATCTGATTGGTTGGACCCACCATCATCTGAACCAATAATTTTTCTTTCTGCCATCAAAACATTTCTGTCTAAATAAACCTCCCAGAAACAAGAGAGAATCGGGGCGATGCCAGGAAGTTTTCCTGACCTGCGAGCTTGAGTCTGGGCCTGTGAGCCCAAGCCAAATGCGGTAACAGGGCCCTTGCCTCGCAACGCAGGAAGTGGCTTTTAACAAACAATGCCAGCAGGAATATGAGGCAAAAACTGTCCATGTGACATGGAAAAACAAGGTGGGGGGGGGGGGGGAGGCAGGATAACACTCAAGGGTAGAAAGCGCCTGAAGACCCTTCAAGGGGACAGCCACGTTGAGATCAATCTCTCAGGTACATCCTTTAAAGACCGCTTCAGTTCCCTTCATTACGCAGAGACACCTGGCCATAGGCAGTACAGGGAAACTCATTAGAGAGCAAATTACCGTGCAGAGCCAGCCAAGGGGTCTTAGTGCCGCTATCCCCAAAGACCTGGGTATGGGCACCGTGGTGGAGCGCAGAGTGTAAGGCTAGCCTGCTTTCTGCTAAACATGCTCGGGGTGGGACTTCATAAATTACAAAGCAGCATTTGACAGGGGGGGGCTCTTTTACACACACAGTATCTGACTTACACACACTTTGCCTTCTTATACAGAAGCCCCGACTGCAGCCTGGCTGGGGGGGGTTGACTGGCAATTACAGGGTTCTGACAAGACTGTGAGAGTATGGACCCCAAATCTGCATCAGTGGGCCCAATCTGTAAACCCCCTGCACTTCACTACTAATAACTCTTTGGTTCAGTCCCGGGGGTTTTAAGAAAGGCTTCTGGTTACCTGATACCGAGCTCCAGGTCTCCTACGAGTCCGACAGGCCTGAGCACATCGGCGTTCGGCTTGTTTAGCCAACGTTCGCTAAGCACATACGGGCAGTCATTTGCAAATGAACAGTGGAGGGGGAAAAACAGACCTTCCAGTGGCATAAACCGCGACCGATTGCGGGCCCCGGCATTAAACTTTGACAAATGCAGCCGGAATACATTTTTCCATAAGTTACAACCCAATCGGACGGACGGCGGCGCAGATTGTTACGGATTTCAGGAGCGCTGAACATTACGCACGAGCTCGCCAGCCTAAAGTAATCAATCTAGATGCTTTGAAGTTATAAAAAGGCCGTGACGTGATTTACCACCCGCTATCTACAGTGGTGCCTGGCGTCTACAAATAACCCGGTGAGCGGGGATCTGCAGTCTCACCGACGCGCCCGTTTAATCACGCTAGCTCGCTGTTTGACAGGCATAAACACTTGTTACCAGTCTGCGTTTTTCTTT